ACTTATATCACTATCTATAAAAAAAATTCTGGTATCATATTGTTATGTAATATATTTTAAATAGATAATCAATTCGAATTAAATTTTATATTTTTCCAATTGCTGTAGTAATTAGCGAAGTTGCATAGCTAAGAGTCTTTACATAAAAACGAGATTTCTTGTTAGCAGTACGCAATGTGTTAACCAGTTAAGTATGGAATTTAATTTGAAAAATCTCTCCTTGCGCGCGATAAAATCAAATAACGAAGTGTATACTCGTTAAATGCGAAAAACTAAAGCGAAACGAAGAAGAATTACATGTTTGCCTCAAAAAATAAATAATCCATCGTTGAAAAAGTTAGCATTAAGAGTTTTAAGATGACGTGTATACTCGTGAAACACAGTTAACCGGTTAATAACGTTGCATATCCATCGCATAAGTAAATAAGCGAGGCGAAAGAAGAATAATGCAACGATATTCGAATAATGCAATCGTCGAATGTAATACCATTAGAATACATTATGTCTTTGCAGCGCGTCGCGGAACACGGCAATAAGAATCGTTCGACGATAATGATAGCTGCATATTATATATGTCACGGGTTCTGCAAAAAAATCATAAGTGTCCGCATACTTTCGAGTGACAGACGGTCGTCGGCGTTCCCTTTGCGAATGGGGGGAAATGCCCCCGTGGTCCCGAGCCATAGAAATTACGTTCCAAGTATTGCTGCCCACGTACCTAATTCCAAAATTTAATTACCTATATAATAAAAATTAAAAGTTCGAATTTCTTTTGCGTTTCTCCTTCGATAACTCTGTATTATGAAAATATTTCGGTTGAAATGCACTTGAAAAAATTGTTTGTAGAGATAATATAATAATATAATCTATTTGAAAAATATCATCATCACACAGAATCACACTTACGAATGAAACTAATGAGTCACGCTTGATTTAGGAGCGCGAAGAGTTAATTTATGTAGGTTAGTTTCGAGAAATGTTGATCTATAGTTCATCAGAAAGAGCGTTGGGCATTTTTGGTAGAAGAATCTTGTAGTATGAACGGTGAAATATGATAATTGAAACGATAGATTTGAAGTGTTAATCCTTGCCATAGAATGACGAGTGAGACTTAATGAAATATGAGATGAGATCGAATAGCAATTATTTAAGAACGTGTTACAACCTTTCGTCTGAAGCAGTTGCTCGTGTCACCGGTACTTTTTCAGTTAGCGAGTTTTCTCTGGAAAATTGCTGTTTGCTCGCACTGTACGCTCGCGCAATTTCAACGGCTGAACTTGAAAATTATGCGCGCCTTTCTCTGCAGTAGCAAACGTCGGCTCCATCGTTTCTGTGCGATTGCAATATCAATATTGTGCTCACTTGTCCGGCTTAATCTCCGGGGATCTGCGAAAGTCTGTTTTAAAATTGTTTAGACGATCTTGGAGCTCGTTGATTTGTTTGTATTAGCCCTTTGAACTCTGTAGGCTCCATATTGCACCAGGAATAATATTAGATATTTTAATGAATCTTAACCCTTTAAACTCTGTAGGCTCCATACAAAACAATCTGGAGTGCTTAATAATTGATAATTAGTTAGTAAGTGTAGTAATGAAACATTAGTAAGAAAATGGTAGAGTAATAGTGAAGTAACAGTAAAATATTAATAAAACAGTAATACAGATATAATCACTGAATCACTAATTATCAACTAGAACTACTATTACAGTTATAATTAATTGCATTAAGCTCCAATTATTAGTTTAATATTAGCTTCCATAATCAATGGTGGAACACAAGCGTCACACGAAACTTTGTTTGAAAAATTTGTTCAAACTTTGTTTTGACAAAATCTGCGAATAACACACATACCTGCACACTCGTAAATATTTAACTATTTTCATTAAAAAAAAGCTCTCCAATAATTTAACCCGTTCACCGTCCAACAGGGTTATGAATGGAACAGATGATCTTCCTCTCTATTTTTCTCTGAGAACAGAGAATCGTCCTCGCCCCGTTAATTAGACGCCGAGTGCTTAATGAATCCCCGACGGACCGTATAACCATTTAATTACGCGAAATTAGGTCGGAAAGCCTGCGGGCGGGTTCTCACTGTATTTCAAACGGCGGAAGAAGAACGTCTGGTGTCATTAGAAGCGAGATTTAGTGGAAGCGTATTTAATTAAGATGCAACGGTGATTAATAACGCGGAGGGAAGCGTGACGCGATCATTCGGTAATACGATCCGGGGATTTTCTGCGATTCAACCGTGGAAACGGTAACATCCAGTCTGCGCTCTTCCTTTTCTTTCGTTCGTTCGTCGCTCCGCTGGGATTCTTCGCAATGCTGCGGTTTCGGTTGGCACAAAAGCTCTAATGACACGAGGCTCAAACTAAAAAGCTCAAAATTTAACTCGCCAGGAAATTAAACTCTCCCAAAATGGCCCAAAACCTCTATTATTGCGAGCTCGAACTAGAACAACTCAAAATTTAACTCTCTGAGAAATTAATCGCTCCCACAATGGCCCAAAAGCTCGAAAGCTCCAAACATCGCAATGCTCAAACTAAAAAAACTTAAGATTTAACTCTCTGGGAGATTAAGCTCCCCTAAAAATGTCTCAAAAGCTTAAAAGCTCTAAAACGCGATGCTAAATCTAAAAAACTCAAAATATAACTCTGAGAAATTACCCCCCCCCACAAAGGCTCGAAAGCTCGAAAGCTCTACAATCGAGAGCTCAAGCTAAAAAAGCTCAACATTGAACTCTCTGAGAAATTAAGCTCTCCCAAAAATGGCTCGAAATTTTGTTTCCTCTTTTATTTTATATATTTCATATACTTTTATTTTTATATTTATAATTCTTCTCTTTTTAAAGTAAATATTATTCTTCTGTAATCAATTGTTATACTCAAAAGCAATCATAGACATAGAACATGCCTACAATTTTTCTTTTTTTCCAATGAATTACTAACGACAAAGTAATATCGAACAGAATTGAAAAAGAAATGATAGGGCGAGATGTGTTAATCGAGAGTAGTGATAGGTTGAGAAAAACAGCTGGCAGCGGCTGTAAACGCGTGCAGAACAGATTGTAATAAGACAATGGCCATCTTCGGGCCGTTCTCCGTCGCGGCTCTCCCCCAATCTAACGATTCATGCGATTCGACATCGGCGATACTTAAAGGTAACTCCTTCCGTGACATTAAAAAGGCACTCCCAGACTGTTGTTGCACATCGGTCCCTTTTGCCCGGCGTCTGTTTCACACGCCAGCGTTGTCGGATGTGGAAACAGCTACGTCTCGTTTGTGCACGGCACTTTATGAACAGGAACAGATGGATCTTTCCTGCCCCGTCACTGACAATGGACACACCGTTACGGGCACGTTGGCTGTCCATATTCGAACGTTGACAGTCGACCTCGAAAATTCAGTGTTAACCCGTTGCTTAGAGATATCGAATGTCATTATGGAGTTAGCACATGTTTCGATGTGACATTCATTTTGATATTTGATATTTCATATTTTATGTTTGATATATGGTATTTGTAATATTTAGTAGTTAATGGTTTCAATGTTTTATGCTTATAATGTTCGATACTTGGTAATTTTAATGCTTAATATTTTCAATATTTAATAGTTAATATTTGTAATATTTCAGAGTTAATAGTTTCAATGTTTTATACTTCATACTTTTAACGCTTAATAATTTCAATATTAAATGTTTAATATTTGTAATATTTCATAGTTAATAGTTTCAATATTTTACACATATAATATTTAATACTTAGTACTTTTAATGCTTAATGTTTTCAATATTTCATAGTTGATAGTTTCAATACTTTACACTTATAATATTTAATACTTAATACTTTTAATGCCTAATAATTTCAATATTTCATATTTTCTAATACCTTAATATGTAAAAATTTATATTTTTTAACTTGAAACAGATGTAAGTTTGTTCTCTCTTAACAAACTATTAACCATAAAATTCCTACAACCCTTGTTAACACAACTTCCAAAGAAATCCGAAATAAAACGTGAGGGTTTTTTTTCTAAATTATTTTCCGTCCACTGTCTGTCTCCACGTGGTCAGACCTGGGCAATCGGTATTACTTTAGACACGATGCTCTAAATTCAGAGCAATACCGAGCTAACGGCTGCAACCTAATTAACCCATTAAGTCCCAAATCTTTTTTTTTAATTTTTAGATGAAATTTTGTATTAATGAAATTAACAAATTATCATCGTTCAAATAAACGTCTATAACATATTCAATATACTACATATAGCATAATCTATAGATAGATCACTGGGAACATGCTATAACAATTTACAGTGAGTGATCTATTAATAGATCAGTGGGACTTAATGAGTTAATTACTTCTGATTACGGTAATAACTGTTACTTGTCGAATTTAATATCAATTTCCAGTTAAAATCTTGCAAATTCCAAAGTCTGTACTGAATGTTGAATAATTTATTGCAAAACTTTTTAGAAATTTTAGAAATTTTCGATTTCAATTAACAGTTAAATTATCAATTATTTCATATTCTTGCAACAAGTGTTCTATACAATTAAAAAGATAATTTCAGTCTGTTTAACACTTGTTATATTGGTTTGTAACTTAATGACCGTTTCTAAACTTTCACAAATCTCTTTATAAAACTTATAATTGTTCATTTGTTAAGATTTCAGTTAGTTTATATTTCATTATAAATATCACTAAATCGATTAACGATATATAAATATCAATTAACGATTTCTCAGAGAAGCGTTTGCACGTTTTCGGTAATTGTAACAAAAGCGATCAGAAATGAGTCATTCTAACCGATCTATCTGTTAGTCTAGTATTAAACACACGCATACAGAGGGTACAGCGTGGTTGTGTGCGTTATCCCCACGTGTAACGATACCCGAGTTGCTCGCGTCGACCGCTAGACGTCCGAATCTCGAGCGTAGTTTTCTCGCTAGTGATATTTCTACTCTGAAACGTTATAAAGTGTTTAGCTTTTAGCAACAGCATCGCTTCTCGGCTCCAATGAGCTAAGATCAAAGTGTAGTATCTGTTCTTATCAGCTTAATATCTGATACATTCCGCAATGCGGAATCAGAATATTAAACTGATTTTTGGAAGTTGACGGAAGTCTCGAGCTTGCTCGTTTTCCGTCGGAGTCGGTCCAGCATTGCATTCCCGCTGGAATTGGCTCGATTTAGGAATTCAAACAAAAATTCTTTGGTTAAACAGTAATTGTTTAATCAAATGGGGAAATTATTAAATTGAAGGGGGGAATTTTTTAACTCTTGGGCTGCACGTCATTCGAATTTGGGTGACACGACTTTTAACATAAACTTAAACATTGATTTTGTTAGTAACGTATCGCGAACATATCGAATATTGTTAAGTGTGTAAGATATGAGAAAGATATTAGAGCAATCGATATGAAGAATTTTGACTTTTAAGCTTTTGATGATTAAGGAAACTGTATCGATTTTACAGGAGTTTTGATGAGTGTTTACTTGGCAGTCAAAGTGTTAATTAAACATCAATTGTTTAATTAATAGGTGGTAGCAAACACGGTTGCTTCATTAAGCAACTGCAATAGAACTTTGTTTGATTAAAAAAAATAGTTGTAACTATAGAAATACAAAGGCATTGCAAAAACCATGAGTCGGATTGTACTATTGTTTGTAAACTTAATTTCAAATGGTTTATTTAACATGTTCCATGCTATGGAAATTTGGGTTACGTTGCTTGTGAACTGAATCGATTTTTATAATAAAATATTAAAGGCCTTCAAATTTCTGATTATGTCATCTAAACTGTATTGATTTTTTAAATAAAATAGTAACTTATATGGTACACTAGCATTGTGTTAATAACTTAGTAATAATGAATACTGAAAAGTTTCATAAATAATCAGTATTGTAAATTTTGTTCATCATCAAACGCGATGACTAATTTTTGTAATAATGAATTGTATGTTTTTTATCACTCTGCATAACGACCTGTACCCTGTCAGCCTCTATTATATCTTCTTTTGTGATAAAAAGGTTGAAGAGCATTAACTGATAAAACGGTGTATAGAGAAATGATAAATAAATAACGTACCATGCGATATTCGGCAATTTTATTTCACCCCTGTTCATTACATTCTCATTTACACACGCATTTCAGCACGTACCTCCATAACCACCACACCATAGAGGCACGATACATTATGGAAACACCATTTAACACTTTGCAATCGAAAGTTTTTTCCTATAAATATACTGCCTCCTTGGTAAATTATAAACAATGTCTGTTGCAACTGATATAACCAATTCAATCAATAAATTAACCCTTTTCACTCGAGAAACGCCCCTTAGTCGCCATTTTTATTTAACTCAATAAAATCATAAAATTTAAAGTTCAATATTAAACTTTTTACAATGTATCAACACATAGAACATCGAAATAAAATAGTTCCATCACTTAATTTATGCAAGGTATTTCTTTATATTAGTTGTAAAAAACACCATTGATATTTCATCAGAAAATAATTATAAATATACTTAATATATTCAATAATAAAATAATATTTGTTGAGAAAAATACTCTCGACTGCAAAGTTTCAATTATTTATTACTATTTTACTTCAATATTCCACATAGCGATGCATTGTACAAAGTTCAATATTAATCATCAAGCCTTATAATTTTACTGTCTTCAACTAAATCGTGACACAAAGTCCCCTTCCGAGTGGAAATGGTTCAAAATAACGGTACAAGTATTTCAGGTTTGTTCACGTATCCCCAGGTATATACAGCCCCTTCCCGTTAGAATCCCATGACAATGACTATCCGGTTTCGATGACAAGGGGAGACATCATTGTATTGCTTAAGCCAAGGGACAAACAAAGCAGTCGGCCAGACTGCCGAAAATCTGTCAGAACCATCCGGTCGAGCACGGCGAGCACATGTCTGCTGTCTCTGCGCCCCTTTAAGTAGGCAACCAGCTATACACACGAGCAAGGCGGACAGTAGATATAAAGGAGTGACAGAGACAGAAGCGTTGGCGGTGACATCTAGCGGCGATACTGTGAAACTATTCGTCTGGAAGTTCGAGCGTGCCACCAGTAGATGGCGGAAGAGTCATTGAGAAGGATAGACGAGGGAAGATGTATGGGAAAGAGAAGGATAGAGATGGTAAGTCTGGTGACGCCATCTGTTGGAGATGTAGAGGAACTATTGGGCTAGCGGTTTGAGAGTTCTGCCGTTAGATGGTAGCACTATCGCTGGAGGGAGAGAGAAGGATAGAGATATGAGAGGGAGAAGGATAGAAGTAGGTTATATGATGGCGCCATCTGATGGAGACGTGGGGGAACTAT